CAACATGGAATAACCTGGAGAGTCTCAGTGAGGGACTGTCTACTTTGGGTTGGCCAGTAGACATGTCTGTGGAGGATTGTCTTCATTAAATGATGTGGGAAGCCCTGCCCACAGTGGACAGAAACATGCCCTAAGCAGGGATTCCTGAAGTTTCTAAAAGGGGAAACTGAGCTGAGTGAAAATAAGCAAAGAAATTAGCATGATGCTGCAATCACAAAGGATTGTATGACAGTCATCTGAAGTGCTGTTATGAGAGTGTTTAAAGGCATAGAACATTTTATAATATATTGTTTCCTGGTTGATAAAAAAGTTTCCAAAAATAGTTTAATACTAACTAGACTTTTTGTGCTCTTTCATATGCTAGAAAATTTCATTGTCTTACCTGATCTTCCCAATTCTATATGATAGAATTCTTGTTCACACATTATTTATTTCTCTGATTTTACATCTTTGTTTTGTTTTTGTTTTTGCAACAGGGTCTCCCCATATAGTCCTGGTTGTCCCGGAACTCACTGTGTAGACCAGCCTAGTCTCAAACTCACAGAGATCCATCTACCTCTGCCTTCTAAGTGCTGGTATTACAGGTGTGGCCTACCAACACCCCACTGATTTTTACATTCTTATGGCTTTGAGTATATGTATTTGAGGTTGAGCTGACAGCATCATTCCTAGATTTACATACTTAGACTAAGTTACTTAAAATATATCTGATATTACAAAATCACTACTAACATGTACATATTGATACACAATCTACATGGAGATAATCATTTGTAAAGTGATACTTTGCAAAAACATAGACTTTGGGGCTTAGCAGTTAAGAGCACTGGTTGATCTTCCAGAAGACAGGGTCCTATTCCTAGCATTCACGTGGTGGGTTGTAACTGTCTATAACTCTGGTTCTGGTAATGGAACTCCCTTTTCTGACCTCGCTTGGCACTGCATGCATGTGGTACACAGACATACATGCAGGCAAAACACTAATACACATAAAATAAAAATAAATCTAAACAAAGCAAAAAAAAAAAAAGAAAGAAATTATCATGATGCATTTGTTGTCCCTCTAGTCTTTCCTGTGGATGCAACCAGCTCCCTCACATTCCTGCTACCTTAACTTTCCCACATGGTAGACTGTAATGTAAATTTATGAACTAAAATAAACCCTTTAGCCTGAGTTGCTTTTTGTCAGGAAATTTCATCATAGAAACAGGAATGAAACTAAAACACTAGAATGCTGCAACCTAACAGCTATATAGACTATGTGAGTGAATACAACAACAGGGTCCATGCCTTTCCAACTGATGGCAAGGAACAGGATTGACATAGTGTATGCTGGGCTCACACAATGCTCTGCATAACATTATTGATGTTACATGAGGGGTATTGATGTGGTCTGGGGAGTACTTGACCCTGTGTACCCCAATTGTTTAATATCACCCATATCAACTTCCCTGACTGCTTGGCCTGTTTACCCTTTAGGCTTTGGCTTTCCCTCTTGTACTATCACTGGGGTAGCAGCTCACTACACTAGGTTGTCTCAGGATCTCCCAATTCTTGCTTCCCCTTCTGAGTAGCCACTCCTCCTGGGTGACTATATGACAGTCAACCTTGACACCCCACTCCCAAAATATCCTTGTACTACAAACTTTGCCCACATTCCCTAGTTTGGTATTTTCAGGCCAGACAAGCTCTCTTCAGCCAACCTTCCTGGCCTTCTTTGAGCCCAATCCCTTGGTGGTCTTGGCCTTTGACTGCATCAGACAACCCTGCAGAGTCCCACAATGCACTATGTTCTGTTCCCACTGCTTGTTTTCCATGATGGCATTATTTCCTCCCTTTGGCTTTTAAGATGCTAGTCCACTTTTGAAGAGGGAAATTAAACAATGGTGTCTAATAAAGCCTGACATGCTTCTGCCTTAGGCAATCTTTCTAGCTGACCCACCAAGAAGGTCCCTTCCTCCCCTGGCCAGATTGTGTTTGTTTGTATGTTTCTAAAACAGCATATTGCTATATAACATGGGTTTCCTTGAACTCATGATCCTCCTGCCTCAACCTCCCAAGTCCTAGAAGGCACCACCACATTCAGCCTTTTTCCATTTTCTTTGGTATTTGTCATTGAACCCAAGGTGTGATGCATGCTAGCAGGAAATCTATCACTAATCAGGGACCATGTTTATTATCCACTTTATCAAACAAAACCTTTGGCCCAGAGCTGGTTCTTGGGAACCCTCAGCTTCTGATGAAACACACTGGTGCTGGCTACAATGGCCTCCAACAGGAATACTATAACATCCATACAAAACCTTGTTGCCCAATGTTTGCCATGCCAGTGGGATGTAGATTATACTGGTGCTGCATGAGCTAACCAAGAAGCTGTCTCTGGAATGGGGCTGTCCCTACCCCATTTGAGATCCAAGTATGTTTGTCTCAAAGTGTCCTCTAAGACTTTTTCTTCTGTGGCTGGCCTCCCACAAACTCTGTGATGAGGGAGGGGATAAAACAGGCCAAGAGTAAAAACAATGTATCCTTGAGAGCAGCTAGAAGGTAAACCACTTACTATTGGCTCTGTGATGTGATATTAAAGTGCCTGCAATGGGAAAGAGAAATTGGAAGTTCAACAATGAGAAGTGCAGCCATGGAGAAAAGCCCACTTGGGAATTCCAACTGTCTCAACTTTCCCAGTCAATTTCTACTGGATGCTTTGTATACAGGTCTGACATTTTGATATCTGTCCACTTTATGCTGTTTTCCCCTTTACTTTAGCTTGCTTTATGTTTAAATTCACTCATTTTAAGTTGAAAGTATGGCTATCATAGATCATTCTCATGACTGCACAGAACCACAACCATATATGTGGAAGGCATGGCCTCACTCTTGTAACACAAGCATATCCAGACCCAGAACCCAACCCTTGTTGTCTCCAGGGCAAAATCTACTCACATCCCTGTGTGAAAGGGCAGCAGAAAGCTTTCTTAGAGAAGGAGAAGAGGAAACAGATGACAGTGATCCCCACATCCAGCAGCAAGTCACCTCCAAGTCCTCATCAGACCCTTTCCTGGCTCACAAAGGACACAACAGTCCCTCTGTCTTCCTCCTTGTAGCAACTGACCTTGCTAGTTTCTCTGCCCTCCAAAGGGCCAACTTCTTTTCCCCTCTTCTTTTGAAGATAGCCTTCAGATAACACCAATGTGACTTTACAGCCTGAGCTCAGAAAAGTTCCCTTGGATCCCAGATCATGCACTCCTATTAGGCTATTTGGCATGTAGTATCCTCCAGCAGTGTGTGAGGCATCTATCCCAAACACTGCTAGGAAGGACTTGAATGAGACCTGCAACACCTTCTTCACTTACATTCACCTCCTCACTGAAGAATCAGTTTCTGGAGAGCCATGTGCATTACCCCTGACCCAGGCTTGACCTTTGCTCCAATAGCTGAAAAAGTCTCTGCTTATTCTACCTACCAACCAAACGATTCTTGACTGAACCCCCACTTCAAGCCCAAGAAGAGTGATCTTCACAAACCATATGCCAGAATAACAGGAAGAAGTCACCTGAACTCATCATCAGGCAACTCCTGACCCAGAGCAGACTCAAGAAAGCCACCAGCCAGGGCTGCAATAGAAAAGGAGACCACCTATGGTGGGTAGAGACCTGTCCGGAGTAGGCAACGGCCCCCACATGCCCAGTTCTTCCTAATTCTTTGAACAGAAACATTGATAACTCCAATATAATGCTAACTCTGGCCCAGAAAAGTGGTGTAGACATTACAATACTGCCTTACTCACAGTTCTTACCCTAAACAAGGGCAATGAGACCACCTGATGAAGCTGAGCTCTCTGCCAGCACATGAGACAGGCAGTGTGTGCCTGGGAAAGACTCAGCATGAGCAAGCCATGACTGTAGAGGGCCTTGGTGACAGACCCAGAAACAGGGCAATCAGGAATGCAAGAGTACAGGATGCATACAGACACATACACCACATACACACTACCAAACACACATACCACACACATACAATATGCCATACACACAACACACAACTAAACATACATACAACACAAAGAAACACAAACCACACATACATACTATAACACACATACCAGACATACACACTATAACATATATACATACACACACACCACGTACACACACAATAACATACACACACATACACACTATAACACACACCATACATATACACTATAATACATATATCACACAAACCACATACACCACACATACTTGCTATAACACACATACTACACTATACAGTATAACACACACCATACATATACACCATATCACACAAACACCACAATACATACTATAATACACACATATACACTAGAATACCCTCACCACATACACACTATAACACACAGATATATGCATACACACACAGGAGCTGTCCATAGTCTTCATATGAGCACTGCAGGAGCTAGTTAACATGGTGAAGATTAGGACTCTGCATCCAATCAGATTCTGCCAGGCCACCAAAGAACAGCGGGAGCTTGTATAAGCCAAGATTGTTTCTCTTCTCTCTCCTCCCTCTTCTCCTCCCTCTTCCCCTCCCTCTCTCCTTTTACCATACCCCCCATCCTCAGAGGGAATGAGGGTGTCCTAGATCCTGAATTAACAAACTCTGGACACATTTCTGGTTTGTGATGCTATACCCCACCCTTTATTCTGAGATAGTACAGGTATAGTGTTTGGTACATGTGTGTTTTTGTTCATGCATGTGTACATCTGTTTAACTGACACAGACAGTTCAGTGTATCCCCAAGCTGGTTATGAATGCACAATGCTGGCTTACTGTCTGTAGACAGCCCCAAACTACAGGCTGGGATATGTGTAAGAATGCCATGCTGATCCTTGAGCCCAGGGGAGCACCGGCCACTCATTCCACTTGGCCTGGAGGAAACTCAGAGCATCATCACCTCTCCCAAGCAACCCCCTTCCCAGATGCAAGATCACCTCATATGGGAGGGGCCAGGGACTTACCAGGACTCTGCCAGTCAATGTCTGGGCGGAAATCATCACCCCTGCCCAGTCCTTCACAGATGTCATCCAGCCGACCTCGGCTGCCACCACTTCCTCTTTTTCATCCACTGGCTTGAGAGTACCATCTGCCTGGCTGGAGCCATTATTTATCTTCTGGGCCTCCTGACAACAGAAAGAATCATAGTTGAGACACAGAAAATGATTAGATTTGAATAAGATGCTCACCCATAAGGTGTCAGAACCCAAAAGGGTTCCCAGATGAGGGAATATGACTTAAAGATAGATGTTGGGGAGGAGAGATGGTTAAGGATTTTATTTTCTTTAAATTTTTAAAAATCAAGCTGCGGAGGTTGTTTAATGAGTAAAGCACTTTCCATGCAGCAGTGAGGTCCTGAGTTTAAATCCCCCAAAGCCATATAAAGTCTGGGTACAATAGAGTATATCTGTGACTTCAACACTTATAGAGAATTGGGAAGTAGAGACTGGAAGATCTCCAGAAACTTTGTGCTGACTGTGCCCCTCTTAACTGCTCTGTAACCAGAGACAGGTTTGTTACATAGTGCCAATATCACTTTACTAATTTCCCATCTTTTCTCCTCTGTCTATATCATTCAAAAGGGAATCATGATGGACCCATAATGCACCCAACAATATAGACTGATGGATCAGGTATTCTATCCCATTTGGGCCAGGAATAGTCACATGACCCCTGCCAAGCTAATAAGACTCAAGTGTGGTACATTTGCTGAAACAGGTAGGGGAAGTGATCATTCCCTGAAAAGGAGGACAACATGGAGGAAATGGGACATTGGGATGCTAGTATCATCATCTGAATGCCTGGATCCAGCTGTGCCTAAAGTCAAGCTCTTTGAGTTACAAGAGACAATAAATTCCCCCTTCAGATCTTGAAATATGCTTGAAGAAACCCCATATGAATCTGTAAATGATATACTTTTACACAGATGTGCCTGAGCCTAGGATGTTCCCATCCTTCACTGCCCAAGGCTTGCTGTTGCCTCTGTCTCCCTGTTTTCACTTACGGAGTCTCAACTTTCCAATAAGGCCTTTCTCACTGCCCTCTGAAAATGCTAACTCTCTTCTTCCATGCCAACTCTTTTGCTTTACTGTTTCTATAACACTCAAACCCCCTAGTATACGTTATAATTCATTTACTTATGTCCTTTACCATCCCCCAATCCAACACTGCTGTCAGCCATGACCCTTAAATTGTCTTAAGTACAAAGCAGTTACAATAAACATAAATGAAGTTAGGCATGGTGGTACACACCTGTAATCTCAAGAGGCTGAGGCAAGAGGATCAGCCACAAGTTTAAAGTCAACCTAGGCCACAGAGTCCAGGCAAACAAACAAAAACAAAACAAAACAAAACCAAAAAAAAAAAAAAAAAACAGTCAAAAAAGGAATTCTGAGAATCTGTTCACTGTCACCTACAGAGCCTGGGTTTAGGACACCAGATAAAATATAGGGTGCTCAGTCAAACTTGAATTTTAGGTAAACAAATAACTTTGTAAGTATGTCCAAAAGTGCATGGGGTATACATACACTAAAGACTCATCTTTGATCTAGATCAAATTTAACTAGACTCACACTTAAACATCCACTGAGGTTATCAGTGCTGATGAAGATGGAAAAAGATGTCAGTGAAACATACTCATCACTTATAATCCTGTATTAATTTCCAAAGAAGAAAACACTGGGGACCACTGTGCATTGGTCTAAAGAGACATTGAGGAGGGGGCACCAAATCAGAGGTGGAACCCCCCTACAAGGAGAAAGGTGGGTCCAGTTAGACCTGAGAAGTAGAGGGACTGGGTTTGGAAAGGTTCTTGGTGCCTGCCGCTTTCCTGCTGGCTGGCCCTGGCTCAGGTAGAGTAGTACTGTGGGACTGGATGCCCATGGTATTTTACTCCTCAGTGTTTTAAGTTGCAGAAGCAGGAACCCTTGGGAGTCTTGGAGGAGCAGGCCTTGGGCCACTGCTGATTTGTGTAACATTCACCTCTCAAACCTGTTAGGCTAGTCTCATTGTCCTGCTAGCTCTGGTCCTGGTGCTGAGACTCAAGGGATGAGTCTCCAGGAGGAGAGGGAGGATGTGGTCCTTGGCAGCCATGGTAACCAAGGTGCATATAAACAGAAACCTAGCCCTCCCACCACTTCAGGGACTGCTCTGTGAGATGGGGCAATATTGACTGTTTCCCAGAACTAAACAGTACCCGATGGCACAGAACAGACTCAGTTACTGCATCTCAGAATGCCCAGCCCCACCTCACATCTGACACTGACTCTGAATACAGTCATTCTCAGTCTTGGGCTAGCACCGAAATCAAAAGCACAAGGTACATTCAGCTACTCAGGGTGCCATACCCACTCCAGAACCTGCAGTTTTATCTCATGATCACACCTGATGTCAACTTAGAGAACCATAGGCCTTGCCCTTCCAAAAGAGATCACAGACCTTAACTCCAGCACTCTTCTGGAATCTTCAGCAGCCAGCATCACCTGCTACTTTCAGAACTGGCTGATGAATGAGGGCTGGGGAAAAGATACACTTTCAAGCCAACATTCTTGTGTTTGCTTCTGTTTGATTGTTTTAGAGACAGGGCCTTGAGCAGCTTAAAGTGCATCAAACTAGATATGTAGACAATGATGAGCTTGAACTTCTCAGCTCCCCTGCCTCTGCCTGAGGGGGGCTGAGGTTACACCCATACACTATCACTTCCAGTGTATGTCACACTAGAGACCAAACCCAGGACTCTGAGCATGCTAGGCAAGCACACTATCAACTGAGCTACACATAACACCAGCAAACTGGGCTCTGGCCACCTGGAGGGCAAATTTCCTGCTACTTGAACCTGCTGTCTCAAAGGACAGACACATTCAGTATGGAAAAGGCCCAGAGGCAGGTGTTCCCTGCAGCCACTATGATTTTAATGCATCTATAATTCACAGCATAAGAGGTATACTGCACATAGCATGCTATTTCTCCAACCCTCTTACCTATTGTTTTACAAGGCATTCATTAGTTTAATTGCTTTATGATAGGCATGGAAAAACACAAACTAACAGGAGATAATGCCCTTGTTATTATTTGCTTATACTAGATGTTGTGAGCTTAATTACCACATGTGGGAGGCAGGACTGGGGGAGGGGCCACAAAAACAGGGAGCTACATGAAACCTTGTGCCAGCCTGCCAGGTTAAGCTGGGGGTTTCTGTGCCCGGAAGGCAAAGTCCTGCATCCTTCTACTAATGTTATATCTACACATACCACATACCAGAGGAAAGGGGGTAGAACCTAGAGGGTAAAATAACGCTGCTGGGGGCATGCAGGAGGTGAGAAGTGCTGAGCTAGACAGAAGTTCTTAGAACAGTGATAGTCCCCATTTATAAAGCCAGAACTGAGTTTCAACAATTAGGAAGTAAATGCTTTCCATGCATCTATCTTTGATGTGCTCTATAAGAAATGCAGTAGATAAGTGGGATTTCACAGGTCATTTGATAGATCATGTGAGAGAAGGTGTCACCTGGGACAGCAGAGAGCCCACTAGGACTTGGGTGCATTCTACTACCTTGGGTCATGTGAACTTAGAGCATCTATCTGCCTCCTCTATGCAGAGTGGGCAGAAGCATCAATCTCTGGGAAGGTAGGCGGTGTGGTGGTTCGCATGGTATTCCGCAGTTGTCATGGCTGCTTCCAATCGCATTTCATGCTCTGGGCCCTGGGAAGGCCACTGGTCCAAAGTGAGACTCCATAGTGACAAAGGAACACAAATACAGGTGACTTCTGCATGATATTGCCCTCTGGCTAGGCAGTTGGCTCTGAGGACTGGGCACCTCTATGGCTGCAAGGGGCCAGAAAGACTGGGGACCCTACCCAGGACAGCAGGGGGAATTACCACAGTAGATAGTGCAAACCAAGTGTTCTCTTGGATGTGCCCTGACTCTCAGCTCCATTGGAACAACAGTTCCCTTCCAAGGAGAGACAGGGTCAGAGTGAGGCAGTTTCTGTGTCCCAAGACATAGTGTCCATGGGGTTCTGCCTCAGAGGGCAGACATACTTCCTGAACAGCAAAGTGCCTGTCCAGCTAACCCAGACTGCCCTCTTGCCCAGGGAGGGTGAATCTGGTGTTGGCCATGAAATCATTGTGTGAGCCTCTCCCTGCCCAAGGGAGACACACTGCTGACTTCAGACTACACTGCCCCAGCCTCAGGAGGACCCAACCAAACACATAAAAATAGAGGGGAGAACGTTTAGGGGAGGAGAGAGAAACATGTAGAAGGGGCAAAGAAACAAGTCCTCAGTGTCCACTCTGGGAGGGTTCCCAAATAAAGAGGTACACAGCTTTCTTTTGGAGGTGCCCTAGGCTTCTATCCCTTGTCCTGTCCCACCCCCTTGGCCAGGCACAACTGTATGCTGGGCTTACATCTAACTCTGAAGTTAGAGTAAGTTTCTGAGCCAGGTGGTAGACATAGCAAGCTGGGGATACTGGTGAGCACAATGGCCTCAGTCTGCTACTCCCACACACCATACTGGGCAGTGGCATTTCCTACCTTCTCCTTATTCCTTTTAGTGTTGTTTCCACCATAATGTCCCATTGGCATGGATACAGGTGGGCCTATCTCTTTTAAGTTACCTGTGACCAATGGCCTGATTGGACCCCAGTCTCTGGTGGTCACCATACAGACCATTTGTTGGGGATTTGAGCATTGCTACCAAATATAACTTAAGAAAGCACCCCAGAATGTTAAGCAAAATAAGCCAGACTTAGAAAAACAAATACCACATTTTCCCTCATGTAGGGAATCTAGATTTGGACACACACACACACACACACACACACACAATTTGAGGGGAAGAAGGGGATCAGTGAGAAGGGGAATGGAGGAACCAGTATATGTACAAATACATAAATGAAAAATCAGGATTGAACTTATTATTTTGTATGAAAGGGACTTGGCAACTTCTCAGGATACTGCCCCTCTCCCTGCCTATACAGATGAGAAACTGAGGGCTGTGAATGAAACCACATGGCCTTCACCCAGGCCAGTCAAACAACACTCCAGCTGAGATACAGCCTGTCAAACTGTTACTGTAAGGATGGAAAAATTTAGCCTAATTTTCCCTAGACTCTGCCCCCTAACAGT